ACACACTACACACATACATTGCATTCACTACATGCACTACACACAGACACTGCATCAACTACATACACTGCACCCACTACACACTACACACAGGAACTGCATTCACTACATGCACTACACACAGACACTGCATCCACTACACACACTACATGCACTACACACAGATACTGCATCCACTACACACACTACATGCATCCACTACACTTTACACAATACACAGACACTGCACACACTGCACTGCTTCAACTACACAGATAATGCACCCGCCACTAAACAATATCTACTACAAAGAAATTGCATGCACTACACTGCATCCAGACATACACTACCTCCACTACACACACACATACACACACACTCTATCCACTATACATATGCATACAATGCATTCACTATACACAGTGCATACAATACACACACTGCATCCAAGGACGTATTAGCCGCGAGGCTAACTAAAAATCCGGGTGGGCTGCCGGGTGGGCTGGCGAGGGAGCACTTTCCCCTGAGCTCTCTGCTCAGCTCCCTCGCGTGCCGCAGAGTGATGCCGGGAGCCGGAATATGACGTCATGCCTAGGGCAGCACAAAACCAGGATACACCGCTGACTGCATCTCCTGGATGTGTGTGAGGTTTTGGGGGGTTAGATGGGGGGGGGGCAGCATTTCATCCTTTGACCCAGGCAGCACAATGTCTTGGGCCGGCCCTGAGAGGGGGCCCAATCAGATTTCTTGCTTCAGGGCCCTCTCGACATTAGTTCTGCCAGTGAATCTCAGCATGCCAAATTTTGCAAAGTGTGAGCTTTAAAACTGTAATTCCCTCCGTACAGATTTTGTTTTATAACTTCTGAAAATGGATAGAAATCCTACGTACATTGGACATTTTAACAATCAAGACAAATCAGTATATCTATTTTTAGTTAGATTTATTTTGTTTTACTTTAGGTGTGTAGAAATTATTAGATGTAAAGCTGAGAAAAAAAAAAGTTTTCTCAATTTGTTAAAACTATTTTACTCCTAGTAAATATTGTGCTCTGTATATTCAATGGAAATCAAAAGAAAGCCCTATATCAACTTTAAAAACAAATGATATATAATATGTCGGGGTGCACTGTTTTAGCTTTATTCTTGCAATTTTGTATATTTCCCTTCAAGGTATTTTATTCTAGTGCTATACCATTTTGTGTGTGGTTCACCGAAGACTATAATAAAAAGGGAAGTTGGGAAATTTTCGACTGGTTGTTTGGGGGGAGAAATCTGTCGTGTCACCAAAAATGTTAAATCTTGAACGTTTGTGACTTAAAGACAAAAATGTAAAAAAAAAAAAGAAGGAAGTAAACTCCTTGAAGTGTGTAATGTTGCTTCACGCACCTAGTCACCCCTTGCTGAAGAATGTTGTGATGTGACCACGAACCAGGGCCAGAATAATGTAAGTGTAGTTGGAGCTGAAGCTAGAGGCGCACATATTGCAATAGACTCGAGTTTTATTGTATTTTATTTTTGTCATATGCTGCTGGTCTGAAGTCCTCAGTTCCCTATTCATAGCATTTTGTCGGACATAAAGCCCCTGTCCATAGCTTATGAAGTGCCAAATGTAACTTTTGCACTGTATATTAAAATGGGGCCTATCTCAGCTCTTGCGTAATGAACACAGGCCATAGGCCTCCCAAGTGTTCATAATCCAATGGACAGTATCTAATACAGGTTCCTGTCTTGATATTGTGTGTTTGTTCCCTGGTGTCTCACTTTGCTTTTGGGGACCAGTAAGCTGACTCCAGAAAACACAGCGAGCACACCTCATTAGTTAATTGGGTGAATGGATGACCTCCTTTAGTATCTTGAAACATTATTAACGTCTTTCTGTGAAATGGTTAGTGAGAGTAATGGATGTTTTTTCTCCTATCTCATGAATAAACAATGTCCTGTTCTAAAGGAGGACTCGATTTGTTCCAAGGTCCGTCCTTTGTTCTCTATAACACAGCAGTAGGTGAAGAGTAGACCGCAACAGCAGGTAACTGTCAAAAAAGAAAGGAGTCTCTAGTCCGAAGATGTTCTAAAAGGAGAAAAATTACTGTGAGTTTCCTTATAGACATAATGTTTTGAAATTCAGTAAATCGTAGATTGTGTCAGTCAGTCTGTCGGTCAGTCTTCACGGTAGAGAACTCAACCCTTTCAAAGCCATATTACCCCCATATTACAGCGGCTGGAAAGCATCACTTACCTCATGCACTCCTATTATAGCAACTTGACCACAATTCTCTTCTTCATTCTCTATTCCATACACTCACACCAGAGCAGACTAACTTCCTCTAAGCTACAAGCCAGTGTACCGAACCAATGGTAAACAAAACCACTTTCTCCCGTCTACCTTTGCCCTCCGTACATGTGTGTACCAACCATCACTCTCCCCAATCTCCACTGGACAACACCCAGACACACCAAACCAGAATACTTCTTATGTTTCCAGAACGTGACAAAATCTAGCCACAGCCACGCGGTATCAATGGGCAGCTATTACTTACAGCAGCTGGGAAAAAGGCCTCTGTGACAACGAACCCAGTGATCCAACTGACCAAGAAGCCAGTACTCATGATTTCAAGGGTAGAATTTCTGACATGAGCAGCCAAGAAAAGGACCCCCAGCCAATTGTGTAGCCTGGAAAATAGAGAGTGAGAGATAAAGTCTACAGTAGATCGAATGGGTCTTTCATATATCTTCTTGTAGATAGAGTTCCTAGAGAGTAGGTAAGACAGAACGTTTAGATAATAAGACTGTTTATCCTGTGTATTCTACAGCAGCAATCACATTCTGATTTCTGTAATTTTGTATGATTGCACTGCAGAAAAAAGAGAGTAGTTTTTCTATAAGATGTTGCGGTTAGAATGATACATACACCCAAAGTTTCCAGGGCTGATAAACAATACATAGGTTTTTGTTTATTTTTTTACTTTACAGATATTTTTCCCACTTTTATCTAGTTCCACATAGTCACCACCCACCTACCCATATCTGACCACCCTCTGTAACACCGATTAACCCTATGCTCCAGTTGTAATCACTGTAACATAGAAAATATGCATTACATGATGTCCCAGCCATAAGCAGGTGTTAATATATTTCTCAACGTGAGGTCCATTTCAACAGCTCGTCACCATTTTATTATCCCTGGTGCTCACCTATATTGTACACTATAATGCAGACCAGCGGAATGACATACAGATTGTTAATAGGGTCTGGGGATGAGCCTTGGTAAGCCATAAAGTCAGTGAGATTGGTAGAATTGTGATGATGGTTGATGTCCTTCGTGAAATGGATGTATAGTCCCATGGCAAGAGAAGAGGCCAACATTAATGAACCTGAAAGAAAATAGAGTCCGTGTCATAATGCAAACACATATGGCCATGGATTGACTGACCTGACCGGCCATGACATGAGGAGTGTACCGATTGCTTCATAGTGTGGTTTCCAACATTATCGAGCATCAAACGTTCCCTCAAACTCTAAATCAACTCAACATACCTCTTAGAGTAATTATTATTACTGATATTTTGATATCTACCGAAGAAGAAGTGAGCAGATCGATGCAACCAAGATGGAAACATTTTACTTATTAAAAAAGTTCACCTACATTTTTTAGCTAGACACTACAACTTCCTTTTTTTGTTGACAATAAGGGAATTGTGGAGAAAAGTGCTTGCAAATTGCATAAACATTACAGGTGCAGCAATTCTCCAACTTAACTTGTTTCTATACCAATAAACAGCACGCTTACATTGTGTAAAACATAGAATCCTCAAATGTTGTTCTGTAAATAATAAAATAAATACATATAGTGCAGACCATCTGGTTAAGTTTATAAATACAATATAAAGTGCAAGGAGTGTCTGGGATTAAACTCACGTTTACCAGAGGCTCTGGGTTTGAAAAATGCAGCTTGGGAGGGACACTTCCCACAAGGATAACCAGAGATGATACAGTTGTGCTCTAAAGTTTGCATACAATGGCAGAAATTGTGACATTTTGGTACTGATTTTGAAAATATGACTGATCATGCAAAAAAATTTATTTTATTGAATGATAGTGATTAGAGATGTCGCGAACCGTTCGCGAACTTCCCGCGAAGCTGCCTTCAACATGGATGCTGTCCAGGAGGTGGGATGGTCTGGGAGGGAGGGTCTGCTGGAGATTGGCCGGGATGTGTCAGCTGACCGGAGCTCGCCGCGAACGGTTCGCGGCATCTCTAATAGTGATCACATGAAGCCATTTATTATCACATAGTTGTTTGGCGTCTTTTAAATCATAATGATAACAAAAATCACCCAAATGGTCCTGATCAAACGTTTACATACCCTTGAATGTTTGGCCTTGTTACAGACGCACAAGGTGACATACACAGGTTAAAATGGCAATTAAAGGTTAATTTCCCACACATGTGGCTTTTTAAATTGCAATTAATGTCTCTGTATAAATAGTCAATGAGGTTGTTAGCTCTCATGTGGATACATTGAGCAGGCTAAATACTGAGCCATGGGGAGCAGAAAGAACTGTCAAAAGACCTGCATAACAAGTTAATGGAACTTAATAAAGATGGTAAAGAATATAAAAAGATATCCAAAACATTGAAAATGCCAGTCAGTACTGTTCAATCACTTATTAAGAAGTGGGAAAATTCAGGGATTTCTTGATACCAAGCCAAGGTCAGGTAGACCAAGAAAGATTTCAGCCACAACTGCCAGAAGAATTGTTCGGGATACAAAGAAAAACCCACAGGTAACCTCGGAGATATACAGGCTGTTCTGGAAAAAGACGGTGTGGAGTTTTAAGGAGCACAATACAACGTTATTGGAACAAAAATGAGCTGCATGGTCGAGTTGCCAGAAATAAGCATTTATTGCGCCAATGCCACAAAAAAGCCTGGTTACAATGTGCCCATCAACGCCTTGACACGCCTTTACAGCTTCTGGCATAATGTAATTTAGAGTGACCAGGGGCGTACCTAGAGCATTTGGCACCCGGGGCGGATCCTGTGCTTGGCACCCCCGCGCCCCCCAAAGCCCCGCCACCAGTGCAAGTTTGGCTCCGCCTCTGATTTTGCTTAGCTCTGGCACTTTTCCTCCTAACTACCATGGGGCACTGTGCGGCCACAGCTCACACAGCCCCCTCCAGCCAGGGCCGGTGCAAGGATTTTTGCCACCCTAGGCAAAAGTAAAGTTTGACGCCCCCCCATGTGACATCACAATGCCCCACCCATATGATTTGCCATGTTCTCTAACGCCAGTGCTGCAGTGCTGCCGTGTTTACATTAAAAGGCCTGCAGGGACAGGCTATAGACACCAGAACCACTACATTAAGCTGCAGTGGTTCTGGGGACTATAGTGTTTCTTTAATGTGAGGTAAATTAGAGATTAGTGCCACGAATAATATACTAGATTGCCTACTTACAACCAGATGAGGATGATGATGGGCTCTAACTGCAGTCTGGCTCCACTGGTCTGGTGTAGAACAGGCTCTCTGGAGGCGGTTTGTAACTGTGGTCACAAAAATCAATGTTCTGGGAGAACGGGAAGCAGCTCCATTTTTGGGGGCCCTTTACACAGCTCAAGGTCTGGGTCCCAGGGTCCACCTTCATGTTCCACCAATGAGTTTGTTCACAGGGGGTGGAGTGTGTAGGGGATGTCCTGATATGTGTGTAAGGAATGCATTGTGTGAATCTGTGTTTGTATGTGTAAGGGCTGCAAGGTGTGTTTCTGTGTATGTACGGGATGCATTGAGTGTGTGTGAGGGGTGCATTGAGTGTGTGTAATGAATGCATTGTGTGTTTCTGTGTGTGTAAGGGATGCATTGTGTGAAACAATTGCATTGCTTGTGTATGTGTGTCTGTGTGTGTAATGCAGTGTGTGTAATGCATTGTGTGTTTTTCTGTGTGCAAGGAGTGCATTGTGTGTGATGAATGTCAATCTCTCCCCGCCCTTCAATTTCCTTCTCCCCCTCCCAATTTCTTTCTTTATCCCCCCTCTCCAATTTCCTTCTCCCCCCTCCCTATCTTTATTTATCCCCCCAATCTTTATTTATCTCCCCCAATCTTTCTTTATCCCACCTCCCAATCTTTATTTATCCCCCCTCCCAATCTTTCTTTATCCCCCTCCTCCCAATCTTTCTTTATCCCCCTCCCAATCTTTCTTTATCCCAATCTTTCTTTATCCCCCTCCCAATCTTTCTTTATCCCCCCCTCCCAATCTTTCTTTATCTCCCCTCCCAATCTTTATCTATCCCCCCTCCCAATTTCCTTATCCCCCCTCCCAATCTTTCTTCATCCCCCTGATTGGCTGGAATGTGTCTGCTGACTGTGAGGTACAGGGTCAAAGTTTACTCAATGATGAGTCCGTGGCGAACCATTTGTGGCGAACCGTTCATTGACATCACTATTGATATGTTATGCTTTGGTTTAAAACTGGTTTATCTGACTGTTTTGTGTTGTTGTGACAACCAGAGTTTACTTTTACAAGTCTTTCAGTTTTTCTTTTCAGTGTGAAACAGTTTATGCAGATTTTTCTTTTGGCTTCTGTTGTGCTTTGTTCGACTCCTTAGTTGATGTTCGGTTGTTATACTCTCTTGCTCAACCTCATCAAAGAAAGAGGAAGGGTCCTTTTGAGGGTTATGTTTGCCTTACCTCATTTTAATTGGTTGTTTTTTACTGACTGTGCTAACTGTTTCTTTGCTGCTGGAGGTGTCAGTAAAAAAGGTATAGGCAAATATCCGCGTCCTGTCTTTAATAAAATTTAGATTATTTCTTCATCAAGGCTAGATATAAATTGAAGGTTTATGTTGATTGCAGGGTTATCAGCAAGATTGCATGTAGGTATAAAGGAAGCATTTGAGTCTCTGTGACAATTTTATTATAACAGGAGACTTTCTGTTACAAATTAATCAACCATAATCTTGAAGAACACTCAACAGACCAGATTTAATCTTCTAAAAGAGAAGTTCTAGCCCCAGAGGACAACCTTGTTGTGTACCAACACAACCATGTTTACCATAAAAATCCCAATGAAA